AAAATGTGAAAATGAAAGAAATCAGCGGCCACATTTTAATCTCTGCTTTCAGAAGTTACCTACATCATGGAGGTAACCTCCATGCCTACATCCACATACAGTCCTCATTTGTTCATGGCTATTAATTATTTCAGTTTCAAAAAAACAGATTAAATCAGCTCAGGACCAGAACCAGATCTTGCGTATGTGTTGCTTGATTTTATTTGAACTTCATCGAATGAGTAACCATCATAGAGGTTGATGCATGTCACTTTTATTTGTAACGTCTATTCAAAATGGCTGACTTTGTGGTCAGTGTTTCTCTGTGAAAACTATTTTAATCAGTGGGGCTGCAGTGGCAAATCAATGGTATAATTGTCACAGGAACACCAAGCAGATTGTTTACAACTTCCTCGTAATTTGAAATAAAACTTCCATCCGAACAAGGGGCATCATCGACGTCCAATAGACTTGCGTCACTCACACTGGACTGATCTGAATCTTCGCTAAGGTTCACAGTCTGTACTTCAACGCAATTGGGCATCTCACTGTCAGAATACTGTGGTTCAAACGCATAAGGTTCTAAGCCAAGTTCCAAAAAGCTCATTGTGCATATAAAAAGGCGAGTTTATGCTTGTTGTACACAACGCCAGGCTGCACGAATGGCTATGGACAATGGCGTATACGAATGTGATCAGATACTAAAATGTCATAGCTTTGAAAAGAGCCTGAATGTTAAATATGTTTGTTCGTTATTTACCCCCTCCATAAATGGCCCCCAATGGTGTTTAATTGTAAGCATTTCAAATGCCTATCCAAGCTACAGTTATAATTAAAACAAAATTAAATCACTGCAATTTTATTTCAAATACAGTCCAGAATACGCACAACTATAAATTAAGGCCGCATTTAGGTTTGCTTTAAGTAATTGTATTTAAATATCACTAAAATGGTGAGATTTGTACCATACATGTACAATGAATTATTATATGGTCACAAGGATACATGTACAATTTAAATCATAAAATGTAACAAATACAGCTAAAATGTTCCAAAGGTACAAAATGTAATTGATTTGGTGTTCACTGTAAGTAGTAGATGTATGGTGTTTAAATACATGCAACATTCTATTGTCAAAACCAGGATAACTTATTGTCCTGTCCACAATACCCTATTGGTTTGTCTACAATTCCCTATTGTTAACCGCCCTGAACCCAATTGTTTACACTACACACACAATTCTCTTATTTGTTCTAGGTGAGTCATTGTTAGGGTGTACTTTCCTGTCTACAATAAAGTGCTTACATGTATAGCAGTAATCATCACTGCTTCATTAATACTGTATGTTGTCCTCATTTTTACCAACAAAGTTGGTGTCCCACATACATGTCCTAAAATTATTATAACTGAGGCTCTACAATGGTACATATTATTTGTACTGGTAGTCCCAGAATGCAACTCAGTATATTTACCTTTAAATGATGATTATGATGACTGGAACACATGAAATGATGTCTAGAACACATAAAATGATGACTAGAACACATAAAATGGTGGTGGAACACATAAAATGATGGACTGGAACACATAAAATGATGCCATGAACACAAAATGATGGACTGGAACACATAAAACGATGGCTGGAACACATAAAATGATGCACCGGAACACATAAAACGATGTCTAGAACACATAAAATGATGACTGGGACACATAAAATGATGACTTGAACACATAAAATAGTGGACTGGAACACATAAAACGATGTCTAGAACACATAAAATGATAAACTGGAACACAAAATGATGTCTAGAACACATAAAATGATGGACTGGAACACAAAATGATGTCTAGAACACATAAAATGATGACTGGAACATATAAAACGATGTCTAGAACACATAAAATGATGAACTGGAACACATAAAATGATGAACTGGAACACATACATACAATGATGACTGGAACACATACAATGGTGACTAGCACACATAAAATAATGACTAGAACACATAAAATGATGACTGGAACCAAAAAAATGATGTCTAGAACAAATAAAATGATGTCTGGAACACATAAAATGATGAACTGGAACACATAAAATGATGAACTGGAACACATAAAATGATGAACTGGAACACATACAATGATGACTGGAACACATAAAATGATGACTAGAACACATAAAATGATGACTAGAACACATAAAATGGTGGACTGGAACCAAAAAAATGATGTCTAGAACAAATAAAATGATGTCTGGAACACATAAAATGGTGAACTGGAACACATAAAATGAAGGACTGGAACACATAAAATGATGGTCTAGAACACTTAAATGATGACTGGAACACATAAAATGATGAACTGGAACACATAAAATGATGGTCTAGAACAAAT